GTCACCATGGGCCTCTGGGGAGGTGACGAGGTCAGGACTGGAGCCCCCACTCTTGGTCCGTGTCCACTGAGACGGCATAGCTCTGACAACAGCGGGTTGACGGATGTTGCGGGCTTGCAATCTTGAGTGCATCATGGAGCTAATTAACTTGTTTTGCTTGATATGACACACAAACTATAAAAGATATCATGAGGGCGTTTCAGCGTGCTGAGGCGCAGTATCAGAATATAGCGGCACTTTACTGTAGAGAGTCTGTCACTTTAAACTTGAAAGATATTGTGATGCGCACCGTTTACAGATTAACCAAGAATCAATGTCTTCGGTTCGCTCACCAGTCTTCATAACCTTTGCTGATTTGCTAAGAGGCCGTGATAAGTCAGAGCTTTCTAATTACGCAAAGACAGATGCGTTTAACTATGCCAGGTATGTTAAGTCTCACAAACCGCACCTATCGAAACACATCACGTGCGAAGTATGATTTTCAATAAAAGGGTGCTGAAACATTTATGTCAATCCAAAGTTATCCGTAATGAAAGCAAATGGAAGATCATGTTTGCCACACAGCCAACAGTTCTCATCCCATTTCATATATAACAATCATAACTCGTCATTGCAATCTCGTTCATCTTGATGGTTAGGACTGGGATTCATACCAGCACTAAACTGCAGTGGCTCCTTGAGCCCATCTAGCAACAAGTTCTGTTGAGTTGGGCGAACTCATCGGAGGCGATAAAAAACAAAACAATAGCCCGTCCAGTTGAGATGGGCACTTTCGACCCCTGTGTGTGCGTCCTATGAACTAGTAATCAATGCGGACGCACCCTCTGTGATGGTCTAGTGGGCAGTCATTGCCCACTTAACCAATGACTACGTTCAGCCTTCTGTTATGCTATGCATGCATGCCTATATCTGCTTCTGCACAGCTGTTTACGCAGTGTACGAATATTTGCAGCCCTTAACACTGAGGGCAGCAACTTGTATTCAATTTTTTTGGTGTAGTGAAACAGCTATTTATGTTGCACAATATGGGAAACACGACGCTGTTTCTGTGATCTGGTAGTCTTTAAACCGGTATTATTTACGGCATCGTCAGGTGAGTACACGAATACCAGGAGAAAATGGAACCAGGCTACGGACTGTTGTATCGTTGCCGATAACGCTACTGTGCTTTTCTTGATCTCATTCGATAGTTTACTTGGGAAAAAGGAATGGCAATGCTTGAAAGCACACATTATAAGGATAATGCATCTACGCACAAACGAACACTTGTTCCCATCTTGTTTTCTTAGACGTACAATTCTATCATTACATGAACTATTGTTATCAAAAACTACCAAGCACTCTGGATTCGATAGCGTACTACGGTGAGAAAAATCATCGGCAATTTGTGCACGCTACTATCGGGCTGAACTGCATATTTTTCGGAAGTCTTGTGACGTCACGCCAGTGTCCGGCACCCGGGACCATTGCGGAAACGTTCCGCAGTGATGCGGTCTTGCTGAAACCTGAGGTCAGTGGCCTCAACGGTCACGTGCCTATCCGACCCCGGCCCATACATGCTGTTGACTGTTCATCGAATGCAGAAAAGGTGCCATTCAGCTTGTTGGGATCTACTGTGCGCGGATGGTGTAAAACCCACCCAGTCATTCGCAGCTTGCGGCTTCGCTGATAAGTAGCCCCTGGAATTTCCACACACAATTGAAATCATCCAGCAAGAATGCCCAACGAGCGATTGCATGTTTGACGCGCGTGCTAGTGCAGCCTCGTGTGTGCATGAATGGAGATGGCTGCCAAGAAGCTTCGTGCGTTCCGCGATACCGCCCGTCATGCCACAGACTTGATTCGCTGGACGTCTGAACGGGATGGCTCAAGCTGCATGCATGATGGTGAGCGGGTACGTAGCCCAAGTCTCCCTTCATGGGATGTCAGGTTTCGCGCGCAATCCTGCGAATTTTCAACAAAGTCCTGCGAAATAGCTCACTATCTAGTGCAAACCTCTCGGCTCAGAGAGAAACTATATCTTCCCCTCCCTGGCTTGGCTATGTTCCTGCTGATCAAGTGGTCAGTGGCGAGAAGAATGCAGGAGAACGAGCCAGGGACAGCAAATCAATGCGTCCATGGTGCCGTGGTCCATTCCGACACACCGGCTAAGCTCTATGGCTAAGATCCACTAGCGGCGGTTCAAACAAGGCCGTAAGAGCCTGTTGGCATGTTTACATCATAACTCTATGTGAGGAAGCTTCTGCGCCTCATCTTTTACTTTCGTTGTATGCAAAATATTTGTCTCTGGTTGCTGACAACCAACGATATTTCGTAAGCATTTATCCCTATGATATTCAATTTTTAATGACAATAATATGAAAGTTAAGTGGGATTTTGACTGCATCGGTATCTCGCACTCGTGTTTCGATTTTTGAAAATAATTCACAACGCATGTAGGCGTTTGTTACCTAACGTGCCAAACTGGTTTATAAAAAGCCATTTCCACGGTGGCGGTGAGCGATGAAAGATGCGTGCAGCGTGTTCAGATTCCCTTAGGTGCATTTCTCAACTGGTGAACTTTTTGAAAATGCAGCAAACGATCTGAGAAATCGGCCCGGGCGAAAATTATACCGGTGATTGTAGAGATATGAGGGAATGGTAAAATTTAACCTTTCTCCCCGCCCTCCCCTCCCATGATGGGAGGGAGGGCGGAGAGGACCTGTGATTGTCAAATCACGAGGTGTACATTATCAACAGGAAATGTGTGCAGTTGCACTTAGGCCAACAGCTGTGTTAATACCGTCTAAGGTCATAGCGGCGTAGCGATGACACACTGACGTCATCAATGCGGAGTTGATATGATTTAAAGATGGAATTAAGGTAAGCCTTTGATAACCGTTCAAGGCATCACGACATGTCCACTGGAATCTTTCAACCAACCTCAATCAAATGCATCCCTCAGTTACTCAACTGACAAAAGCACCCTCATCGAGAAATCCGCGTGATAGAAGCACTTCCACTTAAAATGCTGCCTGAAGCAATTCTGGTGTGAACAACGTCACGTCTGATCACGCGCAGGTGAAATGAAAAAAAATTCAAGTCAGACCACACAGCCATGTGACACCAGATAGTGCTGTGGCACACGAGTAATCGTACTATTCTCGGATCGGAGTAGAAGGCATGGTGTGGTGCGGCACCACCTGATCAAGGATGCTAGCTCGCGATGGCCTCCAAGTGTGACGTAGTCATGTGCATACACCAAAACATGACTATTCGCATGATTCTCGCCACTTTTTCCGGTACAGAGCGGATGGGTAGTAGGTGGAGGCATAGTCATCACAGAACTATACGTCACAACATGACTCTGCATGCCTCTCACCACTATTTCCAGAACCAGTAAGCGAAAACCCAGTCAACACGGAAGTCGTGCGAAACATAGCGTCGTAACGATGACATTCAGTCTACGCCAGACGCCAACAGGTGGCAGGTATTCTGCTGAGCTGTTCGTGATTACCCGGTATAGTACATCACGATTGACTCTGGACTTGTCAAACACGATGCGAAGAAGGCCTGACGCGAAGATTACACGCGATAACATGCCTAACATAGGACTGTAAGCCACGCACACCATCGTGAATGTAAGCCAAGCTGATGCAATGGGGGCCATTCCGCGGTGCGGCAAACCTAGAGTGAAGTGAGAAAAAGACTGATCGATGACCTGCCAGTCACCACCATTGATTGGCGGAACAGGCAGCTTTGTGACCTGATCAGTCACCACCACTGACTGGAGGGGTATCAAATCAGCATCACCACTCACTGCTATTTAATCGTGGCATGCATCATATTCGTGTTAAAGAATGACCACAATAAAAAAGCCAGAACAGCGTTAACCAGACCAAACAAAACGGCCTTTTTATTCCATAATAGGCCTCACTGATCCAAAGATCGCCATCCTTCTCCAGAATGAATCATTTCCAATTAAAAAGTGAACTCCAAATCTAGTAAACAGCCTCGTTACCCCAAAATAGGGCATTTTGATACAAAATTAATGCCATCTGATACATGCCAGGGTCCTCCTTTCTCAGAAATGAGGCCTTCTGAACATAGATCATGCCTCGTAGCTCGTAACGGGAGCCTCTGTACACATAGATAATGCCTCGTAGCTCGTAACGGGAGCCTCTGTACACACAATTTGGCCTACTGATGCAGGCCATAGGCTGCACAATTGCTAAAAGGTGGTCCCGTGATCCAGAACACGCATCGCTCGATGTAAAATAGGGGTTTTTGAGCCTGATTTAGTACTATCTAGCTAATTTACGGGAACCTCCTCGCAAAAAGCTTCTCTTACCTGCGGTTTGCTACGAGTCCTTTCGGTTGGACAAAAGTGGCTCCCAAAAATGAGAGGAGGCACCACCATACTTTTACCCCCTGGCTGCCGGCAGCAAAGGGGGCATCTGCCCATGTGGCCCTCCCCTTCCCTCCACCTGCTGCGTCGCCCCTCACCCCACCCCCTGACTGCAGCCAGAGATGTACGCATCATGTACGTGTTCATATGATAGCAGTGTTTGACTGACCGTCAGTGTTGTCCAATAAATCAGCATGAGCTCGTCACGTACAGTTTTATTTTTTTAAAAGAATGCATGGTGCGATGGCATCAATTATCACGATCAGCACATCGATAAGAATGAGTGCATGTCACTGACGAGCAGCATCAAAATATCTTGACTGTGAACAACGGTAAATCAATGACACAATAAACAAAACCGAATAGGATCTTTGGTACATATTGGGTAGCAATGCTAAAGATAGCAGCCGCTTTGTCTGATTCGGTATCACCACCAGCCGACACTTCCTGCACTCCTCTCTTTCTCCCCCCCCCTCTCTCTCTCTCTCTCTCTCTCTCTCTCTCTCTCTCTCTCTCTCTCTCTCTCTCTCTCTCTCTCTCTCTCTCTCTCTCTCTCTCTCTCTCTCTCTCTCTCTCTCCCTCGCTCTCTCTCTCTCTCTCTCTCTCCGTTCATTCAAACAGAGGCCAGCATGGCCAGACTATCCAGGATCCAGCGGACGTGCGGCCGCACGGGCGCGTATGACACCGACACGCCCGGCCGGCGACACTCTTTCTGCGCTGGCCGCATGCTGGCCACACCCATCAGGAAGTAAGCCGAGCCGAACTGGTCTGGGGCCACCAGGGGCGCGCCTAGGTCGGCCATGCACGGCGCACCCGAGCCCAGACAGCGGTCTGGCTCGCCGTCCGCCTCCGACAGCAGCCGGTACTGGCACGGCCCCGGGCCATCGTAGCTGGTGTTGAACAAGGCTAGCTTCTCTTCGTCCATCACATGCGTGGTGTTGCTGCGCTGGCGGCTGCACTCGCAGCAGGTGGCAGCACCGTCGGCCGCCGGCTGCCGCCCGTTGTGCAGGCCCATCGTCAGCGAAAACAGACGATGCGGCTGGTGGCGCAGTGGGAACATGGGCAGACAGATGGGCATCACGCCGTGACCCAGCGTCACCGGCTTCGACAGCTGCACCAGCGCCACGTCTAAGCGGCTCGGGTCACCGCCGTTGTTGACAAAGTCTGGGTGCACGGTGAACGCGTGGACGGCCACTTCCTTGGCCTCGGTGCACACGGTCGGGTCGTACCAAAGACAGTCTTGCCGGGTGCTGAAGTCGTATTCTCCCAGTCTGGCAGTGGTAAGTACGAAGCGACGGGTACCGAGGGCGCAGCGGGCCGACGTGACCACGTGCTGGTCGCTGATGAGCGCGCCCGAGCACGAGAAGACGACGCGACCGTCGGGTCCTGTGAAGCCGAGCGCCACCAGCCACGGGTGGTCACCCACGACGGGGAAGCCGCAGCCGAGTGGGCCGCGGCTGATCTGTGACTCGGAGCCGCTGCCGCAGAAGCGCAGGTTGAGCCGACCCAGCGCCGGGTGGTCGGTCAAGTCCGGCAGCAGCGTGGTCTGCCGCTTCTCCAGACTGGCGCGCCGCCGGGCCAGGTCGATCCCCAGCGCCGAGGTCGTCATCAGCAGCAGCACTGTACACACCTGTACTCCGCACATTGCTGTCGTCCGTTGCAAAGTGTGGCGCTCACTCAAGTGCCGCCGCTTATCAAAGGCTTTGGTCACGTGGTGTGAACGGCTTGCGGCGGTGACGTCACAGACCAGAAATTCATCTCGGCCGGACGAAAGCCGATTTGCGCAGGGTCGACACGAGACACGTTTGCAGCAGCGGCGCGCCGCGTTGTTGCAGCGTGACGACCTAGCGGGGTCGACACGAGACGCGTTTGCAGCAGCGGCGCGCCGCGTTGCTGCAGCGTGGCGACCTAGCGGGGTCGACACGGGACGCGTTTGCAGCAGCGGCGCGCCGCGTTGCTGCAGCGTGGCGACCTAGCGGAGTCGTCCGAGCCAAGTACACGAAAAGTCGAGTTTCTGAACAGTTAACAGGCGCAACGCGAGCAGGAGCGCAGCTAGAGTCTTGGTAGGTGGGATGGGAACAGGATGAGTTAAGGGCTTCCTAATGATGAAAATTTTTCAAAAATTACCAATTTTCACCACTTGATTTTGACGGTACAGAAGTTTCATTATTATATTTCGATTTTCAACTTTTTCAAGTGGAACAAAAGCCAAGATAGCTGCCTTAGGATGTGATTCTGCTTGTATATTGCAGTCAATAAACAGAGGAAAACAGGAGTTAGCAGACTGCATGAAGTAAACCAACGGTGTTTTTTTCATTTCTAAGTGAGCTATTTTTAAATTGATAAAGCTCAGAGGTTTCGTCAAGATATTGTCAGGGTTCTAAATTTGAACGTTGATAGGATATCAACAGTGTCCAGAACTTGTATCATATGGCCAAACCACATTGGGCTTGGAATGTTCCACCTCCGGTCCGAATCAACCGATGACAAAATTATTTGACATGCTTTTGTGCACGCGCGCTCGCGCGTGAATTGGACATTGACGCCCGTCGCTGCAGTCTGCTTACGCTTCGGCACTGCGGCTAGCCTTAGGCAGAGGCCAACAATCGGGCGAAAACTGTGACGCATTTGATAGACGTGTCCTTGAACGCTTTAAGACATCAGTTCGTGTGACTAGAAAACACCCCTGGCGGATATTTAGCCTGTGTGATTTCTTTATTGACGTTAGAAACGGATAAGCGTTTACAGCACCGCGGCTGGAATCTGGTGATGGAACTAAAAAAGTAAAGGTAAAATCCCTGCTTTTCGTGTCGCCGTAAATGTGAAGCTGTGCAGATGATAACCTCAAAGTAATACAGGTAAACATAGGCGCTGGTCTGATTTTCAGAGGTTTAAAATTATTTTGAGAGACACTCAGAAGAACTATGTCACGATGTCCGTTGTCACGCGCCTGGCGCCAACCGCCTGGTGTTGTATGCACTTGCCAATACCCGGTGGCGTCACTTCATATGCCTTCAGCAGGCCTGAGTCCCTTCCCCCTGCCTTGAATTGGGCCCCTTAATGCTCTTGTGAACGTCCCCAATGCATATGACAAAACGGAATGCTGGGCAAGAGAAATGCGTAATACTCTTGTCATCCTTTGACACGGCCAGCACTGATGATAGCTTGTAGGTGTACTTCCATTGACAATACCCTGTCCCAGAAGACCGTATATGCCAATGTTCCGTCTAAATCAGTACGCTAGGTGCCTACCAAAACACTCCTTTGTGTGCTAGGTCAGTCTTGAAATGTTTGGCAAATTGTTCATACGATGAGAGCTAGGTGCTTCACATAAAAGTTGGCCCATATTATCCTCAACCGTGACAAGTATAGTTATTGTGCAATCGTGACGGTGGCGGTATGAGGCCGCCATTGCACTGGCAAATCACGATCAGCGCGGCATCGAACAGCAAAGTCGCCCCAGATGCGCCGCCTGGCGCTCCAGCATGCGCGGCAGCTGAACCTGCTGCAGGCAGCCGGGTGTCCGGTCCACCGTCCGCGGTAACGAGCTCCTCGAGTCTGGAGGTGACCTTGAGGTTTTGAAAGTTCGCTGGCTCGTCCGCGCAGGCGCATATCTCTCGGCTACCGCGCAGCATGCAGTACAGCGGCGACTGGTCGGGCGAGTGGGAAGCCACAGCACGACAGTCTTAAGCTGATGTACGTTCCAGCGGACCAACCACCCAGCCATGCCAAGGGGGCCAATGCTGCCGTGCCGCGCCGTCCTGCTCGAGCTACTTCTGGTCCCGATCGATCCGGTGAACTCGCACTGGCGTGAGGCCGCCCAGAACGGTGGCAGTGCGGCGGCGACGTAGCCCTCTAAGCTGGTGTTGATATGATACTCGTTCTCGTCCTCAAAGGGGCGTCCTCTGTAGAGCCATGACTTGACAAATGAGAGATCACTGGTGACTAACGTGGGATAACCATTAGCTGACCCACCTTGTATAGATAGTAGTTGCACATAGGTAGTTGATGTCACCTTCCTGTGACTTCTTTACGAATGTGATATGCTGCTGAACCGAGTGTATACGATACAATTGGGAGGCCTCGTCCAGTGTTCCGTGTATTTGTTCTCGCTAAAAAGAAAGGATACTTTAGCACGCGTACGGTAACACGACTGAAAATCACAGGATATGCGCAAAAGTTAAGTTTGAATCTTTTGATTGGATGCATTTGTGGAACGAGTGCCCACAGCTAAGCAGTGCCTGTTTGGTGAGCCCTTAATTAATCGTAAGTCTCCGGGTCAACGGCAGAACTTTGCGGTGAAAGCTTAACATGCCGCAATGGTCAACAGGCCTATCGTGCCCTCTAGCTTTACCTGACCGTTAGAGCGGCCGCTGACAATGGTCGGAGGCTTTGCCAGTCAGGGACAAATAGCGCGAACGCCTAAAGCGACTCGTATCCATTGCGCCACAGATCTGTGAATCGGAAGGCAGGTGTTCCAACCAGCTGAACTATCGGGACGAACTTAAGTCCGTTGCGGGACGGAACGATTGAAAGTTCCGCTCGACGGCGTATCCTCCACCTGGTTGCACCTCAAAAAGGCGTCCACAAATGGGATCAACACAATTAGCGCGGCGTGTTCCGGGGCGAGAGTTCGTACCTTATATTCCAAAGAAATTTTGGTTTTATTCCCAAAGAAACTTAGGCTTTATTCCAAAGAAACTTTGGGATGGTGTTGACAGACCTTTGCGAAGAAACCTAAACATGAGTGCCGTTTCCAAATGTCGACTTTCTCGGTACAACTGAAGTGTGTTTTATAGCATCTCTTAATCACTGCCTCCTGGTATGCTATAGGTCGAGTCTTGGTATACTATAGTATACTTGGTATACTACAATATTCAGTATGAGAACTCCCGACTCATTACCCAAAGCATCGAGATTCAAGACGTGTCTTGCTTATATCACCTTGCATCACGTGCCAGCGTTTGCCCTGTTATATTCTCAAGGCAGCTGCTCTGGAGATCCATCCGGTCACCAATCTTTTCCCGCTTCATCCCCCCAGTAATCGACATGCCATTTGTTTACGGAAGCTGAATGTCCGCGTTCTGTTCACCTGGAAGTATTCGCAGATTTGGAGAGCTCCTCAATTAGACGACAATTATGCTAAGGTGTTGAATAGAAAGCGCATGAAGCAATGTATCGATTTTTATGCAAATAGTCAATATTCATTTTTGGCAAACGCACTGCCCCATTTTTCTAACTAGGCACGGGTTAGAGGTATAGCTAATTAAAAACGACGAATCATGTGAATCACTTTTAGCTATGTGTCGGCACGCGGGTGCGTGCTGACTGTACTTGGTAACTCGTGGACCGGTGCTGTCAGTATTTTCCCCTGGCCTGCGCTCTGCGGTCGGCAAACAGTGGTTGGGGAGCGGCAGCAGCGGAATGAAAGGAGAGCAGCTGGGGAACGGAATATGCCCGACAAGGTGGTGAGAAAGCGAACATTTTCCCTTTGAACTTGCTTTTTGAAAATGTGGAACTGAGTTGCGCCAGGTTTTCTCCATATGAGATGTAGAATGGATCCTTCCCCGGCCTGCGCTTTCAGAGAACTGCTGACATGTCTCCCGATCTGACTGAGTGTGCTCAGATCCCATATCGACAACACAAACCTCCGACATCGATAATCATAGGAGGAACAAGCGGTTCACGACTGCTTTATTCCAAGAAGAGCCGACGCCGTTAGCACCAGCAGCGCCACAACCAACAATGCTATGTTACTCAATGTCATTAGTGGGATACGTTGCATGTGCAGTACTATACTTGTATATATATCACATGTTGGTAGTATAACATCTGTAACACTATATTGTGCAATACAATACGCACTCATCGCTGGCGCACATTGCCTGCGCAACACTGTTCCATGCGCTCAGGGCACCGAATGAAGATTGTTTAGTTGTTTCCCACCTGCACACCGCGTGAGGTTGCCACGCCGCCTTCAGTGACATGGAGCAGCGATGGGCAGATCAGTGTGTTCTGATCTGGTCTGATCGTTGATGATCTGATCTGACTGCTTTTTGCAGGCTTTTACGAACCTTCCGTCAACTAGATACGAGAAAGGAAGGCGCTGAACTCCCGGTTTTTCGGCATTGTGGGTTGTAGTTGCTTTCTCTCACCGTATTCGGCCTCGAAGATAGGAGGAGGTACTGGTCGAGCGATGTTGTTGAGCAAGCAAAAAAAAAATCGCAAAAATGCGGGAGATAAATTAGTGCCTTAGACTGTGTTCATGCACACGGGGCTTTCACGAACATTAGGAGTTCATCCCACAAAGCCTGGCAATATACAGAACTGCGATTTTTTGGTCCGGCACCCAGTCGACTCTCGTTAATCAGAACACTTTTCATTTGGAACGATCTGCGGCACTTTGACATTTGGAGCAGCCCAGCACCAACAAATGCTGAACATGCAAAATACCGTTAGTGAAAACTGTCGGGCATATACACTAGGCCGTGGCAAAAATATAATAAAAACGCCCCTATTTCGATTGAACTTTGTTTATAAATTGGAATGCACGCCACTGATGCTTCTTTATGGTTCAAGGACAAATTGTTAAATGACGTCTTACTGGAT